ACGATAGAGGGAGACAAACACTCTCCGACGAGCTGCCCGGACCCAGAGCCCCATCGTGACACCTAGAGGCCGATTAAAGATCCTGCAAACTCCCCCCTTATCAGAAAAGTAGTGATACTTTACCTCTTTTTTGTGTGTTTCTCGACCTCTTTAACTCGACCGAAAGCAGAGAGTATGTGCTACAAAGTTTGCCCGCCTGGTAAGAAATGCAGGTTTCTTCGCAGTTGTTTTAATCCCTCTCCCGCTTTAGCAGAGTAGCCTCTGCCACAAAATGGCAGTTGTGAGCTCAGTGCGCCTGTGCGGCCGCTGGGGGGTGGTGTCGAAGCTGCTGCAGACACCGTGATTGGCCAGGAGGGGCGCCCCGTTGAAACCCATTTATCACACTGTTTGGAATAGAGCTTCTCTCAGGACCCTTGGAGATATGAGCTTTACTATAGGAAAATAACCTCTAAATGTCAAAGTACCATAACAAATAAACACTTTGTAAGAGATTGTGTTTATTTCAAATATAGTACAATAAATAATACATTGATTTGATTAAATCAGAATACTTTATTTATCCCTGGAGAGGTTCGTGACTGTTGCTCCGTTTGTGGATCGAATTATTAATTTAAAAAAAAGGATAAATAAATATGTATATGTGCAATGAAAATATAAAATCAAATACACAATACAGCATAGGATTTTTAAATCTAACATTTGTTTAAAGTAATACGATGGCAATTAGTATAATTGTAGTCAATGTACTGTCGTAAATGACCCATCTATTAGTCTGTGCTCTTACTGGCTGTGCAAAAATTACCAGAAAGAGAAAGTCAACAGAAATCTTTATTCACTGCTTTTGGAAGATTCAAATGGGTTTGATTATACAGTCGCATACATCCATGGGTTTTGAATCAAAGCATGAATGACAGGGCTTCCCTCATAATTGTTCTGATATTGTGCACACCTGAGCTAAGATGTATTCTCTGTTCTTTAATAAGGACAATACAGCTGATGTCTATCACAGCATCAGTGTTTCTGTCATAGAGTAAAATGATGAAGTTACGACAGTTCAAGTCATTTCTACAGTTTTGTTTATACTTTATGTAAAGCACCTTTGTGTCTTGACTGTCCTGTATAAACAAACTCCCTGCTTTTTCAAATTAGACAGAAAAAATGAAAATGCTGAATCATTGGTAAAGTCTCAAGAGATATAAAAAATATATATATATATACAGTGCTGGAAAATTGTTAGTCTATGACCAAATTATTGTTATATGTATTTTGAGCTCACTATGATTAACACAAACAATGAGACAATCTGAACATATTTTTGATATTTTGTATATTCAACACCAGAATGACTGGACATATATTTTAGAAAAGAAAAAAAGAAATGTTTCCAATACTGCACAACTAATCAAGGTTCTGGGGAAAATATGTTGTGCTGGAGCGGTTTCCCACTGCTTCACACAATCTCATCTATGTCTTGCATCTCTGTTACTATCAAAGCTTGAGGCACTTAAACACTGTGGGATTTATGCAGAGGTATAGCTGCAGATAGCTGCTGTCCTTCACAAAACAATAGTGGTAAAATCATTTAACACAGCGGAAGCCATCAAATATACATACACAAACAGTGAGTTTCCCTCTTAAAGAAAAATCCTATATTATGATTCCAGTGACACTGCAGCCTGTCGCACAATTTATGCTGAATAAGAACTAAACATCCAGAATTAAAACACTGTAAATAGCTCTTTGTCTGATCAACAGCTGAATATATGTCTGAATGTCAGTTATTTTCAGGGACACAGCAGTACATCAGTAAGTCATTATTGCCTTCAATAAATATGAAAGGATGATGCATAAAGGGATAGGCCTTGTGAAAAATACTTAGAATACCTAAATCAGAGATTCAGATCCGAGTTCATAAATAAAGATTTCATCTCAGAATTCTACTTAAACCTTTTCCCCATATTCTGATATAGTCCTATTGATAACATCGAGATAATCTTGAATTTAGTCTTAGAAGTTACATTATTTCTTATGGCTCTATATATATATATTTAAAGATATGGCCCTTAACCTCTGTGAAAATGGTAACATCATTTTAAGAACAGCTAGAGAATTGTTTTTCAATCACAGTGTTGCTAGAACATGTAAGTATACAGGGTTGGCACATTTCATATAGGAACCTGGACCCTCCTTCTTATAGACAAAAGCAGTGTCATGTTTTCTGTGGAATTATTACAAATGTTCACATGTTGTAAAAAAACAAATGAAGTACAGTTTAAACTTGCAGCAACACTGAAATTACTACATTTTTAAATGTCATGTTGTTAGAACAAAAAGCAGAACAAATTGTCGACAATGGTTTAAAAGCTTAGACAACAGAAAAAAGTAGGCCTATAGTCCAGTTTAACCATGCTAGCAGCTCTGTGAAAATTGCTTCGGCACTTTGAGCTAAATGCTAATGTGAGCATGCTAACGTGTCCTAAGTGACAAATGTAACATGCTGATGTCAACATTTGCCAAAAATCACTTAACACAATGTACAGAGGCTTAAGGAATTGCAGTAGTCCTACAGGTATCTTGTCACAATTATTGGTTTTACAAATTATCCTGGGTTAATGAGAGGCCTGAACCCAATTTCTATGAATTATTTGTTAAGATATTTCTGTCCGGCTAACTGAGCAACATTGCCATCTCCACAGTGCTACTGCTGGCATGGCTAAGAATTGCACATCATTTACTGTCAGTAGAAATGTCTTTTTTTTACTGCTAACTGCACAATGTAAATTTCAATTCAACATGTTTACATCAGTGTTAGCATAGCATACAGTATGAGACTTGAACACATCCATATGATATCAATAAAAGACCATCAGTCATTAGTGCTCAGGAAATGAAAAGGCAGACTGGCATCATCAGCAGTGTCGCTATGAAGAGGATCAACACGATTACAATTAACGGGTCACTGGCCTGGAAACTTTGGCATTTTTACTGACATCTGTCAAACTCAGTGTGGATAAATAAAACCAGTGAACTTGCATATTTGTAACCCCATCTACCAAAAATACATTCTTGACTTAACACGCTGGCACTTTTCCGAAATTAGTAGTTTTGTAAAAAAAAACATGTTTACAATATCATGATGTAATGTATTGTAATGTATCAATATCGAGCTAAAGATAGCTGACATTTGCTTGAGTTTGGTAATCCATCACAGGGAGCATCAGCTTTGTGTTTACATTTCGTTACTTTATTAATTTAGCCATTATGTTTGCCATTATGATACTAACTGCATTCAACAAAGTAAAATGTCAACATTGTCCCCCAACTATGACTTAGTATCTAATTATTTTCAGACAATATTTAAGATGATAAGATCCCTTCAAACATTTTAGGAATCGTTTCGTAATTGCAGCTCTTATTTAAGAGTTACTAATTCATAATGCTACGATGATGTGTTATAATGGAATCCTGAGTTCAAACTAAAATCACAGATAGTTTTATTATGAAGCCAATAATAACAAAGTACAGTAGGTCTACAATGTTTTTCTTTGGTGAGTGTAATGGGCTCACTTTGGAGAATTGTCAGCAGCAGAAGTGGAAATATTTTAGTATGTCATTGGTAGTAAATGGCATACACATGCAAAACACTGGTATCGCCCTTCAATCGTTTATAATTCCATGATCACATTTTTGAGGATGCCAAATCAACTCAACACAGACAAATGCAATGTTCATTCTTTGTAAAGAAAATCTTTAGTTTAAGTGTGAAATTCAACTGTTACAAATGTCTATATACCTAACCAAGAAAGGTGTATGGTGTCTTTGCCTTCTCAAAAGACAAAGCCCTCCGCAGCAGTCTGACAGTAATGCAAATATTCAGTGACTTCATTTAGAGCAGATATGCAGATATGTCAGTGGTAAGTTATTCAATTAATCAAATAATATAATATGAATTTATCAAATAATATAATATGATAATAATATATGTCATTTTAACAGTAAAACAAATCTTATAAAACAAAGTATACATTTACAAATAAAGACTGTCAAGAAAAAAAACAATTTACAATCACAGAATATTGAACTCCAGTGGCAAATAATCATATAGTATGTCATTCCATAAAGAATAAGATATGTCATTATTGTAAAGAGTGATGGCACTGAATTATTTTAACCTATCACTGTGCAGAAGCAGCTTAGCAACAGTCTGAACTCTTTATTTAAAACTACAGTGTGAGCTTCTCTTTCTTTTCAACCTTGTGCTAATATAATGACAGCATTAAACATAAACCTCTGCGAGACAGAGAGTAAAAAGCTTTCCTTTGTATCTTTTGAACTGGAAGACGTTACACAGTGAGTCCAGCAGTAGCAGATCTCCAGTATCTGTCCATGCATCAGAGACATGTCCTGCTGAGCACCACAGTGAGGCCCCAACCTACATTTAGCTCTACTATACATGAGCAAAAAAAACCCAGAGACAGTTCCATTAAGACTGAAGAACATGCGTCAACAAATGCATCCAATAAAAATCCCATTCATTCTTTTGCTGCCCAGTTGGTGGATCTCCATCACCCCCTACCTTTGACCTGCAGGACACCCAAGTCAACTTCAGGATGATGCATGTGATGCCCACTCTGATGTGACATGAATGAAGTTCGGATATTTATGTTATAAGTTCATCACAGTGTCTCTGCTAGGGCTGCACAATTTAGAAAATATAACAAATTGTGTTTATTTTTGACTGATATTGCAATAGTGATATGATTTGTGATATTGAAGTAAACGATCATTTTGAAACCTTATTCACATATGAATGGAAAACATATAAAAATGATAATATAGGGATTTTTTGTGCAAATCTGTACAAAACAAGGATTTTTTATTAAAGGGGCCCTATTCTGCACATTTTCAGGTTCATATTAGTATTGAGTGTCTCTCCTGTGACATGTTTCCATGCTTTAATGTTCAAAAAGCTCTTTATTTTTCTCATACTGCCTGTGCTGCAGCACCTCTTTTCAACCTCTGTCTGAAACCAGAGCCCAGTCTGCTCTGATTGGTTAGCTGGCCGGCTCTTTTGTGATTTGAAATTTGAATAATTGTGCAGCCCAGATCTATGCATCAGTGCAGTGTGGGAAGTTTGAGCTCATTCATTCTCAGGTGCATTGCAGTGTTGCAGTACAGCTGCATTACTTAGGTCTCAGTCTTGAAATCAACAAGCTAGTAGAGCCATGGCTATAGGAAAGGCAGAGTTATATGAAAATATGCTGCAACTGGGGTAACATTTTCCAAAAACACCTAAAATAAGAATCTTCAGGAAAACAATAGGTTTCCACGCACTTCGTGCTAGGGACACCGTTGGGGTCCCAGCACTCTCATGCTCAGGCCCTAACAAGAGACAGCAGTATCCACTAAGAACAGTTAATACTGTAGATTTACTCTATGTATGCCTAGTACAAGTCAAAATCACAGAGAGTCGGAGTACAAGACACTCAACATTTTGGGCGCTTAGTAGGCTGTGAAAATGTGAATTATCTGAATTGACTTAAAATAGATCTTTACACTTTTCCTAATCCACTTACAAAATAATGTTTTTGTGTCTGTGCCATGATGGATCAATATCCAGTTATTTGATTTGGATATGAATCTGCTTTACATTTCCTTCCTTCAGTATCCATTTCATCCTTCTCATCCCTTCATCTGTCTTTCCATTCAAGCCTGCTCACATTTTACATCCTTCCTCACACTCTCTTGGTAGTTAGCACAGGTTGATGAACATAAACTGGTGTGTTTGTAGCTTAATAACTTTACATGTTTGCCAGTGTTAAATAGAGTGGCTATCCTTGATACCATAGTTACCTCTCTGATTTTTAGTGGTAGTATTGGAAAATAAAAAAAACTACTTTATATTCTCATTGAGGCTTTTTGTGTTATTTCAGTTTTCTCCCCCACCCAGTGTGTGTGTGTGTGTGTGAAGTGTTAGAAAGCAGTGCTGGCCATGCTTCCTGGAGCAAAGAGTCTGGGGATGCTGTCCTGAGACGTCTCCACGTGTCTGTGGGCCATCTTCCCCTCCTCGCCTGCTCCACACAATGGATTGAAGAACAAAAAAAAATGGAATGCAACAATGGACCAATGAGTGAATGCACTGGACAAAATGAAATTACAGAAAACAAGCAAGATGTATATTTGTAATTTCTGCTGAGAGTGGTGCAGGAATGAGTCATAAACCTGGAAATTAGTTAGCACTTTCGGGCTCCCTCGTCTCTAAGTCAACTGTTTTCTGAAAACAGACTGTGGTGAACACAAGTTTAGGAGATTTTTCACATTTTGTTTTACGGCAAAAAAGAAATCATCAAATATCCCACTCCTGTCTTAAAAAATGGCTGTTGCTAACAAGTGGCTAAATTAGACGGCAAAATGTCTAATCAGAACTAACATTAGCCACCCTTTAGCTTAGCGGTGGTGACATGACTGAAATGTGCTTTATCGCATTAAGTTAGCTATTTACTGTACTTATGACAATTGCATTTACCCTTCAAAAATAAAAAGGTGGCATTAATATGTAGAGAGTATCCTGCCAAACAGAATGTGTAGCTGTCATAAACGTGTGTTAGCCACATATTTTATTATTTTCTGTAATATCCCAACTCCAATTTTAAAATCACATTGCTTTAGTCGAGGGAGCGCTAGCTAGCAATGCTAACTTCCAGGGCCGCCAACGAAAATACGTCATCACTGCACCATTCTATTGTCTTATATCGCAAATATATGAATGAATGGAATAACAAAACAATAATGGATACAAAAATACAAAATATATGAATACAGGCATATTATTTACATTTTATACATGGATATGAGTTTATCCAGGAAGTGCATTGTTTAGCTGTCATTCTATCTAAGTAATATGGTGATATTATTACCGAGCACCAGCAGCGCTTGTTTGGCAGCGTCTCGGACATCGTCCTTGTCCGTCCGACAGAGATACACTAACTGGTCTATACTCTCTTTGGCCTGGAATAACAATCGATAAAATACGTTATTTAGCATGGTTAGGAGGACACACTCTAGTACAGATAAGACTTTATGATGTTACATCACTGTGGTGCCATAAAAGTAGAGAAGTGTGTGTACCTTGAGACATGCTAGAGCCTTGCATCCACACACTCTGGTGTCCGACTGCTCGTCTTCCAGCAGCTCCAAACAGCTGACCAGCGCCTGAGGAGGAGAGCGTGTAGTGTTTATATCCGTGTCTTACTGTGTACTAACTGATATCAGGACGAAGCCATGCTCTACTTTTACACTGCTGTCCATGTTAAGTCTTTTCCTTGTTGAAGATTTATGATTCAATATTTGTATTCTGCTTCATAATTACCTAACATGTTATTTAGCTGACTGTTTTATCTATTGTGATTGAAGTGACTTACATACACTTCAAAGCAGGTACTTTTAAATGTAAAAATACCTAGTAACTATGAGTGTTGTATAAAGGTAGCAGAGTAAAAAGTAGAATATTGGCCTCAAGGCTGTACACACACACACACACACACACACACACACACACACACACACACACACACTGAAACACACACTGAAACACACACCGCCGTTGTGTGTCTGACCTCTGAGGTTTGGCTGAACAGTAGACCATGGTGGAGCTTTAAGTGGGTGCAGGCAGACCAGATGTGGCTGTCTAACCCTGCAGACCGAACAAGTGGCTGCTTGGCCAGTAGCCTCACCGCCACTCAGCCGCTCAGCATTCAGCCTAGAGAGCCAGTGGACACGGCAGCGAGCCACCATTAGGGTGCTGACTCTAAACAGAGGCTGAATGAGGTTTTGACAAGGGCTTGGCGGGCCATCTAATAGCTTCATGTTAACTAGCTTTATTAAAGCCATGTCCTTGTGTCTCTGCAGGTGTGTGTGGTGACTATTAGGGTTAAATGCAGCTTTGGGTCAGTGGAAGACACTAGCAGTCTTCATGAATTCATACTGTTCTGTCATCAGTACACATTTTTGTATGTACCAGGACATTTGATGCATTGAAATTATAGTTTTCTTCCAGCAGAGATGGGTAAATGAATACATTCCTGATGTAGCCTTTGTTTTCAGAATGGCATTGTACTGCCCCAGGTGCTTCTTTTGTCTAAAGCACTCATTGTTTTCTAACTTTTAACAATTATAGATGAACTTTAATAAAAACAACCCTTATTGGTAGCAGTCCCACGACTTGGCATTTCCCCCAGAAAAACCAACTAAGCATCAATGTTGTAAGGTCTCTGTGATTATTCATGCTGCAGCACAAAAAGTAAAGTTATTCCAAGATTTAAATGTAAGAATGGGTAAAATCTCACATTTTGATGGCTTAGTGGAGAGAAGTATCATATTATTTTAATGTTAGAGCTTCAAAGGGTTGAGGAATAAGTGAGGAATGCTATTTTTTTAATGCATAATAAGTAATGTGCAGTATGATCTTTTTTGAGCTAAATATTTTTTCCACATTTTGGAAAATTTGCTTTTCGTTTCCTTGCCAAGAATTAGGAGCTGCTCTTATGTCTGTCTGTTTAAATATGAAACTAGAGCTAGGAATTGGTTATCTTAGCTTAGCATAACAATGTGAATCATGGGGATATAGAGGGCCCATCAGTAGTTATTACCCATCTTTCAGTGTCCAGTTGAAGGTCAGTGCAGTGCCAGGACTCCTCAAGTTGATGGTCAGAGTTTGCTGGCTTACACAGGATCTCAAAGGTTTACCCAGCCTGCCGACCATGAGGGTGACACATTTCACCCCTCTGCTCTAAAACCGTAATTTAAAGCTGAGAATTCTGGGAGTGTGAAGAGCCTGGTTGTGGAAGAGCTGCAATTGATTATTTGTGAGCAGTATTTTGGTGGTCTTCCAGTTGTCTCCAATTATATCTGATTCTCTTAAACCTCTGTTTTCTTTTTAAAGCCTGACTGTCTTCACTCCTTCTTCACCCTTTATTTTGTGTCAGCTCCTTTTCAGAAATACGTTGCTTACCAATCTGAGGTCACGACAACCCAAACCATGAACAACGGGAATAAACTCCCATCAACAGATTACAGACTTGAGCGTGGCTTCGTTTCCAGAAATATGTAATACATTGCACATGGGGCTAAATATGTCCCAGATGCGAGGGGTTCATGTGTTGTTCAGGCTGTGCTGTCTGCACCCCAAGATCTTTGCTATGTCATCAAAAAATGGTGCTCTCTCATATCCGCTTCCCAACATGGGAGACATTTTTATAACCTATTGTTTATGTCTATACTTCTATCTATTCATTTTCCAATTAAGATGTGGTGAAGCTTGGGATTATTCTTGTTTAAACCGGCTGACTCGACCAGAGCATTGATTAGATATTGTTTGAGAAAATGAAAGTCTGTCCCAAAAGGATCCGTTGGAGTAGTCAGTTGATTCTTGATTTTTATGTTTAATCCATAAAGTTCACCATGCATGGCAAAGTGGTGCTCTGATCTGTGCCCTTTGGAAAATCAGATGGACAGGCAGGGTCAGCCACAGCAGTTAAATGCAAAGTAGTTCATAATCAATAAAGATCAGAGCCAGGTTTCTTTTAGATCTCTATGTTTAGTGGTCCTCTTTGAGGCGGAAAACAGGCCATTGGCCATGTTGACTGAAGACTCAAAGGGATTAAGGCCCAGCGACATCAGAAAGTGGCCATTACCCCAAAAACATCCTTTGCTCTGAAACCCAACCAACTCGGCCCATGGTTGTCTATATTGCCTTCATTAGTTTGGTTTTGTTACGAGCAGGAGTGAGTGTTTGTGTGACTAATAGGCTTTCAGTCTGACGGTAATTTCTTTGAGCTATTAGGGTTTTGAAATAATGGGCTGTTGGAGTGATAACATTGCCCCTAGCTACCAGCTAAATTGCTACCCACCCAGGAACATGGCCAGACCATGTCTGAAATCCCTCTGTATTTACTATTGTTAATAATACTATTTGCTGTCTGTTCAGTCATTTTATTAATTTGATTGCATGCTGTGAATGGATTAATGTTTGCAATGCCCTTTGAACATTTGAACAATGTCCTTCCGAGCTAGCAAGCTTTCTAATAATTAACAAGCTAGTTAGCTTTGTTGCTAAAGGAATAAATAACGTTTGTTCAAGAAGTTTGATGGGGCTCAAAGCCTCAGAATACTGAAATCTGTATTTTTTCTCATCTTTTTTTCCTTCTAATTTGTTATTATTTGGTGCAGGCACGAAACATACTACCAATATAAATACATTGCTTCTAAAATCGTTCTGTGTGACACAAAAAAAAATGGCGAAATCGTGTTGGTGAACTCGAATCAATAGATTACATTTGTGACTATAACACGAAATGCCGTGAGACTGTGAAGCTACCATAGATTTTTTCTGTTTTGGGCTCTCTGGGTCTCTAACACCTTAAAGTATACCACTGTTAAGATGTATCTTTTAGTTGTCAATGGCACAAAGGTTTACCAAAATTGAACTCAACATTACAGATTTGGAATTACTTCCCCTCTACAGTTGAATGATGCGTTTCCAATAAAATGTATAGGAAATTGTGCCTATGTATTAGCTGATGCTATTGCAGCAGCCATGTGTCAGTTTCCCTACTGGCCTGATCCATCATACTCTAAACAGCATCCTCCACATACGCCACTGGGTGGTTTACATACAATGAGAGGTGAGCTAGCAATAAGACAAATCCATAGGTCAACTCTGGAGAACAAAATAATGTATTGGCATGTAGCTTGGCTGCAGATGGATGGGCTTGGTGATACTGTGCTCTACCTCCCTGTTGCATTGTTTACCTCATTATGGTTCCCTCTCAAGCTTTGTCTTCACCAGCCCTCCTGCTTTTCACACTCCCTTTTGTGTGTCCCTCTCCCGCTCTGTCTATCACCCATTGATGTTGCTTTTATGGTCTGTTTTTATGATCTTTTTTTCTCTCTGTCTTTCTCTCTCAGCTCTTGGTGTGTTGCAGGAATGGAATAGCAAACTACAGTGTGATTTATTCTGACGCCAGCTTCAGTCTTGTGGCTGGCACAGTCTTGGCATGCAGATACACACAAGCTGAGACACACGGAGCAGCCTTTCCTGTCCAAAGTTTACTCAACTGGCTGGTATGCTGCCCCAGATACCAGAGAAGAGCCAGAGCAGGCACCAAATGTAGATTGAGCTGCAGGGCTGTGATGTGATTAAACATTGAGGATATCGACAGAGATCACAGATTAGTACGTCACCCTCTGTTGTGCTACCCTTGGTTGATGGGTTTGCATGAATTTTAGAGAAAACAGTAGCTTGTTAAAAAACTGATAAGATTGTTTGTATGGTTTTGTGTACGAGGGAATGTGTGGTACATGTGCTTTTTGGCACATGCATGCCCAGTGCGTGACTGTGTAGCATTATGTGTTGGCTTTATCTCTCTGTAAGATGTTTCTGTCTGGTAAAAACGTGTGTTTATGTGGAGACATGCGGAGCTCAGCAACAGAGGCGAGAAGAATGATACACAGTGATTAGCTGTTCCACGCTTCAGCAGCTGCAAGGTTTTTTCTTTTTGTCCATGTAATGGCTTCAAGTCAGAGAGCATGTGTGAATATTCTTAAGGAAACTGAAGCCGATGATCACTTATTTGTTATCCTTATAACTCAAACCAGACTTTGGCTGCTACTTCTCCTGTGGTCTTGTACATAATCGGGCCTCACGCACATTTGGAATCTTATGAAAAGTGAAGTTATATCATATTTATTGTCAGTTTGATAGTTTTACCATGAGAATGAATGAGGCGTTTATGACCAGCAATTGCTGTGCTGATGATTCAGAGCCACCCACGCCTATGTGAACCTGAAAGAGCAACACAAATATCTCAGATAGGTAAATGTAGAGTCGTTCCATACACTCAACTTGGATTTCGATAAGCCCAGCTCTATGTGCACACATGTTGGTATGTTTGTGTGTATTATGTGTTCTAACTTCATGTGTGTATCTCCTGAGTGTGTGTCCTTGTTCTCGTGTCTGAATTCTTGGCAGCCTTTCATATTCCTGGTTGCTCCTCCAGTTGGTCTGCGCTTTTTAAACAGTGGTCGCATTGATGCTCAGGTCTTCTTATCCTTTGCTCTTGCCTTGGATAGTTTTAACCGATCCCACACTAACCTTACTGTTCCCTGGTTTGTGTGAGTGTGCGTGTATGTGTGTGTATGTGAGTTTAGAGTGCCATACATACAAAATAAGCATACAATTGCACGCATTCCTGCTAATTTGCACGCGTGTGTGCATGGTACGGAGCACAATGTCTGTATGTTCTTTGAGTAATAGTGTGTGGATGTGCTAGTATATGTCTATGTGAGGGAACCAGGCTGTGATGTCATATGCGGGTCAGCAGAAGGACATTATTGTGTCTGGAGCTCTACAGGGGGTGTAAGAGGTCTGTTTTGGGCCTCCTTGTGCCTGAGTGGTGCAGCACAGAGGCCCGTCTGTGGCCCGAAGAACCCGAGGAGAGCCAGGAGCCCGCGGGGCGAATAAATACGTTGTGAAAAGCGTGTTAAGAGAGGTGTGA